CAGTTTCCATGCAGAGGCCAGAGGAATATTTACAACATAAACCAGACCACAGTGCTCCCTGCTCAAGCCCCTGACCACCTCTCTTCCCTGGAATGCAGCCCTGGCCCTTCCACAGCTCACACCCCAGGGCCAGGCTCCTCTGCAGCCTCACCTTCCTGAGGTCCTCTTGGCCCTAACCCCCCTTTTTGGGCATCGTTTCTCAAGCCTTAGCACCTGTATGCATAGCACCCTGAAGTCATGCATTGGTCAACCTCAAGGCCACACCAGGAACAGTGCTGGCCCCTCGCTGCCTCAGTTTCTACCCCCTTGCCAACCCTGCATCACCATCCAACCCAGTGCTTGTGCTCAGCCTGTGGGGTTTGACTTCTCACTGGAATAGAAGCCATTCCCACCAAATTCCTGTGCCTCAAACAGAGCCTGACATGTAGGACAGGAGCCCTCATCTTCCTCCCGGCAACACAGTCACCTGTCAAAGAGAGGGCATAGGCCCAGGGATTAGCTCAGTGATTCCACCACCTGGCTCACAGCACAAGGTTCTGAGTTCGATCCCTGGTCCAAAAAAAAAAGGGAGGGGCAGGGATAGGCATCAAGCCAGGTCCGCAAGTGTCCAAGGCTAGATTTTGACCTCAGTCCTGCCTGTACTATGCCTCCATAAGGGTGTCACCATTCAGGGAATCCAGGTTCCCCACCCCTGAGGGCTGTGACCAGGCACATCCTTCTCTTTCCCAGACCTGCCTGCCTTTCATCTTCACTCTCCCTGCAAATACCTTTGTCCACATCACCCCCAGTTCACCTACTTCCTCAAAACCATGCCTGGTCACCGAGCCTTGAGAGCACCCCATTGTCTGTCCCTGTGATCTCCTTTGATCTGGGGCCATTCTGCCACATGGAGTATGTTGCCTTTTAAGAGGGCCAAGGACTCAGGGGACAAGAGAGGGAACACAGAGAGGACCCATATCTTGGTTGGTCTTTATTTTCAGTTGGTGGCAGGCATCATTCCAGGGCCAGTGGCTGCATCACCAATGCCTTTTGATCTTCTTATTGCTGCAAGATACACAAGAGGCAGCTGTTCAGTGCTGGTGGAAAGAATGAAGACAGTGCAAAGCCTGGGTGGGTGGGGGAGATGAGTGAGTGTGGGTGAGTGGTAGATGGATGTATGGGTGAATGAAAAGAAGGAGCGAAGGTTGAATAAAGGCATGCATGATGGGTGGATGGGTGGGTAGATGGATGAATGGATGGATGGAAAGATGGACAGATAGATAAGAGGATGGGTGATGGATAGATGGGAGAGTGTGGATGGAAAGTTGACAGGTGGATGGGGAGATGGATGGATGCATAGATGGATGATAAATGAATGGAAGAGAAGGAAGGCAGGAAGAGTGGATGGATATATGGAAGGGGTGAAAGGAGGGAGGAAGCAAGTAATCTTGGATAATTTGTTAAATGACCTCAAGCAAAGGATATTTGTGAGGAACACATGGGCCCCAGTCCCTCAAGCCTGGCATCCTTCCTGCTCTATCTGCTTCTGGTTGACCCCTCTGTTGTCCTGCCAAGGCCTACATCTTGAGCCAGTTCCCTTCTAGACTCTTCCCTGCCCATGAAAAATGCTATTAGAGCATGGCTGCCTCTCTTCCCAGTCAGCCAGGCACTGTCTCTCAGGCCTGGCCTAGGATTTCGGGAGAAAGTGTCCATGCAGAGAGCCTCGCTGTCCCCTTATGGGGCCAGCTCTCTGCACACTCATCTTTCCTGACCTCAACCTCATGGACCATGGGAAGGAGTCATTATGGCAACCAGTGCCCACGTATGTGCTACAAGTTGGGCACTATACTGTACCCTCAGCAGTACTAACCTCTCCCTCACCCACCCCACTGCTCAAGGAATTAGCAAGGGGCCAAAGTCTGGAATAACTGGGTTACATCTTGAGTCTGGGTGGCCAGAAGTCTCCAGGGCCCTGGCTGCAAGGCCACTGGGAATCTAGAGAGTATCAGTACCACCACCTCTCCCTGGAGGCCATGTGAGTCTGTCTCTGCATTCTGAGGAGGTACACTGAGGCCCCGTGGGAAGGTTCTTAGTTTGGGAGTCCTTTTCCCGGCCCCAAGGAGTTGGAGGCGGTCTGGGAAGCCCCCTTCCTCTGTAGATCCACATGCCTACCATCTGCTCAGGTTTCCCCCTCTGGTATTCTTCCAGAGCCTTTGGGAGCAGGGAAGGATGATACCCTATTAGGGTTGCCGATCCCAAGAAAGACCAGTGCCAGGACACTGATGGCAGAGTCGCAGAGGGCTGGTGTTGCTGTCCCCAAATCCCAGGCCAAGGAGGCTCCTTGGACTGTCACCCATGCCCAGGGGCAGAGTAAAGGTTCTGTGGCCCAAGGTGAGCAGTGGCCTTGGGGGAAGCCTAGGAGCCTGAGGCACTAAGAGGAGCAGCTCCCACCCCTGCTGCCTGGCCCCTGGCCCCAAGGCCCCCTCAGTCCCAGGCAGGCTACTCAAGCATCTCCAGGCTGTGTCCGACAGCTGCCTGGGCCAAAAATTTAATGCCGCTGAGTCACCACACACCTGTCGGGATGGAGCGGGGGGACCTGCAGGGCCCAGCCAGCTGGACGCATTCCCTGGCAGGCAGAACCTGGGCTCTGGGGAGCCCCAGGCAAGGGTGCCATGAGATGGGTGTGGACAGCTGCCACCTGGGCTTGGAGGGCAGCAAGCCCCCAGGGAGAGGACAGGGACCAGGGGCCAGCTTGGCAGGTGCCCTCAGTGCCTTTGTCCTGTCCTATGGCATGTGGTGTGGTTGGAGGGTTAACAGTCATAGTGTTCAGAGCCCCACAGACAGCAAGGAGAGGAGAGGCCCCTCATGCCTGAGGCTTGTGGGTCGATAAAGAGTAGAGAGACTCAGAAGGAGACCCTCCAGAGGCAGGTCAGCAAAATTTAAAAAGCAGAGTAAAGCCTGGTGCTAGAAAAAGTACCACATCTGACAAAAATATGTCCACGACATCTGACAAAATGGTCAGACCATCAAAATAAATACTGCTGTGCCCTTTAGTCAGGTAATGGCTGCGCTGAGATTGTACCCCTGGGGCAGGGACAGTTAGTTATACGTGTGAAATCTGACCATGAATGAAGTGTCATGCGGGTAGAGCTCACCAGGGCAGAGCCACGCTATGATGAAATGTTGGCACAATGGAAAGGAACATGATAGACCCCTTGACTTGTGGAATGGCATTGATGTTTTATTAAGTGGAGAAAACACTTGCTGGTTCTGGAATATTCTGATATGTTCCTACATCAGGGCTGTTGTCCCTGGGTGTTGCTATCCACTGACCTTCCAGCTTGTGACTCCAAAAGCCTCCTGCTCTGGAGGCCTTCCCTGAGCTCCTCTGCATTGTAAGTCTCCATCTGATGCATGCATGCAGTGCTTTTTTTGTTTTTCGGTTTTGTTTTGTTTGTTTGATTTTTGGTACCAGGAATCAAACTCAGGACCTTGCACTTGCCAGGCAGGTGTGGTACTTGCTGCTGAGCTACATCCCCAGCCAGCATGTGGTGTTTTACTTTTCGGGGTTGCCAGGTCACCCAAGCGAGCCTCGCTTCGTGTCTGTCTCCAGCACCTGAGGCACATGGCACTCACTCAGCTTCCCTGAGTGAACAAATGTGTGTCCACACCACACCCTGATCCTGGAGTAGCTGCCAGTTGCCTCTAAGGATATGGGGCCCAGGGTGGACAGGTGGTCTCAAGGAAGCAGGCAGCAGTGGGAAGCAGCCCTCACCCTAGCCCCGACCCCACCATGACCCAGCCTAGGCTCCAGCCTGACAGGCTCTGCTCTTCAGCCGCCTGCACTTTCTCCCTTCCAAGAGTTAATGGCACACGCTCCACAGGCACCGGCACATTCGCATTTGACGTGAAAATGTTTTTGCAGCAGGCCCGGATGCCAGCATTTTTGTGGTTGCAGTCAGATGTTTTTAACTACATTGGACAGAACCCACGACGGCTCTTTCCGTGGCTTCAGCCAGTTTCTGAGCACTACCTTGAACCCATGGCACCCCAGGCCAAGAACACCCCCCAACCTCTGTGCAGACATGGAACCCCAGGAGCAAGCTGACCCCAGGCATGGCAGGTGGCACTGTCCACCAGGAGAGGACCAACCTGGCATTTCAAGTCCTGCGTGGATCCCTCTGGCTTCCTGCACACCCTATGCCCCAGGGGAGAACAGGTTCCCGCACTTAGGTTCCTGGCGCCGGGGCCTTCAGAAGGCTCAGCTGGTGCTCCTCATTCAGGGAGGCTCACGTGACAGTTGCAGTTTGTGGTGCTAGGCAGAGCCACGGGCATTGACGTGGAGCTGTCCCGATGCCACAGATCCATAGGAGCCACCCAGGGCTAAGATCAGCTCCTCCTAGGGGCCCAGGCTTTTCGTCCCTGGCAGAGGCAAAACACAAGACTTAAAGGAACATCAGATCTTTAGGATGCAACACCGATCTCAGGGACAGACCCTGGATTTAGTCAGGTATACCTTAGGAACTCCCACAAACACCTCCCCTCCTCAGTCAGCATTCACCAGCCTTGTAAGGTGGTATATATATACATTTGTGTTTTAAAGCCCCTGAGAAGGCCTGCAGTGAAAGAAGTTCCTTTTGTTTAACCTAGCAGTCACCCACACTACCTTCATCTCCCAACTTTCCCTTCCCCCACCCCCCAACCCCAGCAGAATGTACACCAACACCTAAAACCCATCATCTCAACAGGAAGTGCCACACTCGTCGCCCCCCTGTACCCCATGTTCCACACAGTCAAGCCCAGTGTCTTCCAGGACTGTGTGCCCTGAACCTCCTCCTATCTCCCACCAGCCCAAGCCTCGCGATGGGTTTCTCTGCTCTTCCTTGTGGCGTCAGACGGCCCAAGAGAGGTTGTGGGTGTCAGGACAGCACCTCGCACCCTCATATCACTTATGAGTATACAGCTTCCCTCTTGGGGGCCCTGAAAGCCACACTTCAACTTCACCTAATTCACTTTCTCAGGTGGTGCTCAGCTCCCTGGAGGCACAGGATCCTCAGAAGACAGCAGAGGCCTTTCTCGGACTGGAAAATGGGGCAAGATTCCCCAGCACATCTGAGCCATACATCAGAGCCATCATGGCACTTGACTGCCCCAGGAGGGGCCCAGAAATACCCTTTGTTCTTTCTGCACGAGTGCCTCACACCCACCCCATACACAGCCACACAGAGCCAGAGGCTGCATCTGCCCTGGGATGTACAGGCCACCCTGCTCCAGTTGTCCCCACCAGCCCAGCTGCTGAGCCCCCCAAAGCCCTCCCACTTGTCAGGTCCTCAGCACCAGCTGCCCAAAGCGCTGTCCCCAGCCCAGGCTGATGACCCAGGCCTTCCCTGCCAGACGGGCACACTCAGTTGCCAGCATGGCCCCCCCAATCCCTCCCCAACAGGTGTCCCCACCACTGCTGGAAGCTTGGATACACTACTCGTTCCCCTTGCCCCAGACTCCAGAATGATGGTGGATGAGGGAGGCACTTGCCATTCAGGAAGAGAGTGCAACAGTGCCCCAGCCCACCCTGCAGTGGTCATTCCCATGACCCCACATCTTCATTCTTCCAGCCCCAGCCTGGCCTCAAGTTCAGGCCTCTCCTGCCCTTTTGAAGAGACCAGCTGGATATTTCCCAGGGAGATCTACCCTACAGGACCCTGGAGAGTCCACACCTGGCCCTCATCCATCCATCTGTCTTTCTGTCTAACCATCCAGCATTTGCCAAGCACCCTTAAGCTCCAGGCTCTGGGTGTGGGTGGTGGGCTAGATGGCCACAGTGCTGGATCCCCAGAGCTACAGCTCAGTGGGGAGCACAGAGAACAGTTGAGGAAATAAAAACAGGGGCAACGTCACTCCGTAGTGATAAGGAATACTGTTATGCCTGGCCATATGCTGGGGGTGGAGGCAGAGGAAGTGAAGGGGGCAAGACCGACCCAAGTCCCAGCTGACCCTGCTCAGAGCAGGCCAAGGACCCAGGGGTAGGAGACACCCAACACCTTGGTCCACAAACGAGAACAGAGGACCCGTTTGAAACGCACCTGAGACAGAGAGTCCCAGACTCCAAGTTATAGGAGCTCAGGTGATAGGAGCTCGGGGCCTTCCTGACATTCCTGAAGTAAACCCTACGTGACTTTGACTCTGCAGCCACACGTCACTTAAAAGGGCCGTATTCCGAAAAACGCATGTGGCTATCACAGTGTGCACTTAAACAGGCCAAGACAACCACGAGGTCATGAGGCGATGTGTTCCTGGGGATCATGGGCATGTGTATAGTCTGTGGTTTCTGAGACAGGGCTGTCTACTTATGTATGTTTTAGGATTTTGGCACTTTTGTTCAGACCTAGTTTGGGCCTAGAATATTCTTGTGTTCCCTTGCCCAGTTTCTGTGCCTGGTTTTATGAGTTGGACGCCTACTCATCTTGGCCTGTGCCCTGGACTCATGGTATGGGGTGGGATCTGCATCTTGAAAATATGGAAATCACCCCAGTGTCTGGACTACGAACTTTCTGGAAGAGGATAGGTGACTGACATTGTAATTTCTCCAATGGGTTTGTGTTTATTAAGATTTTCTACTTCATGAGTCACTTTTAGCAATTTTTTCTGAAATTCATTCATCACATTGAGTTTTCAGTTTTATTGATATCATAAATACTTACAGTCAATTACTTCTGCATCTATAATTACTCCTCCCATTTAATTCTTCGATCTATGTTACTTTACTTGCTTATTATATTGGCCCTTTAAACAGCCAGTATTTTGTTTTATTGTCGATTCTATTTTCATTTTTTTTTCTAGTTTGTTCATGTCCTCTTTTATTAAGTCCTTCCTTAATCTTTCTTTGTACTTACTTTGGTGTTCTTTTTACAGCTTCTTGAGTTGAAAGATTAGCACATTTATTTTCAATCTCTCTGATTTCCTAAAACTGCTACAAATACTCCTCTGAATACCCTTTTGGCAACACCCCCCAGATTTCGCTACATAGTACTGTCACAGTGAACCTGTTCAAAGATAGGTTTTTGTTTTTTGTTTAAATTCTTTTATTGGTACATTTTAGGTATACAGTATGTTTACATTTATCACTGGGTGCTTGTACCTGTACATGATGCATCTTGGTTCTTATTTTTCCCCATTCCCTGTGCTCCCTTTACCCCCTTCACTTTTGTTTCCATTTTTTCCTTTTCTCATGGTTTTTCCTTTCCCTTCTTTCCTTTCCCCTTGCCCTCCCACCATCCCTACCCCTTTGGACCTTTTCTTCCTACTTCAAATTATCAATTATTCATTTTAATCATTTTAATCCTTAGTTACACTTTCAGTTTCTCACACTACAGAAACTAGTCAGTATTTACACATGTGTGTCCTATTTATTTCACTTAAGAGTATGGACTCAATATGCATCCATTTAGCTATAAATGTCTCTAGTCTCTCGTTCTTTATGGCTGAGTGGTACTCCATTTTATATTAAAAAACAAAAAAACAAAAAAACCCCACATCTTCTTTATCCAGTTTCCAGCTGATGGGCACTTGGGCTGTTTCCAAGCTTTAGCTATTATAAACTGTGCCACTATAAACATGGGTGCACATATATCACTGTGGTATGATTCTTTTAATTCTTTTGAGAAGATACTCAGCAGGGGAATAGCTGGGTCAAGTGGGGCCTCTAGTTCTAGTTCTTTGAGGTATCTCCATACTGATTTCCATAGTGGTCACACCAGTCTGCACTCCTACCAACAATGGAGAAGGATTCCTTTCTCTCCACACCCCCACCAGCATTTGTTATTGGTTGATTTTTTGATAGCAGCCATTCTTTCTGGGATGAGATGGAATCTCAGTGTTATTTTCACCTACATCTCTCGAATGACCAGTGATGTTGAACATTTTTCATATGTTTATTTGCTGCTTTTACTTCTTTGTCTGAGAAATGTCTGTTCATTTCAGATGCCCATTTTTGAATTGAGTCATTGAATTTGGGGGGATCTGATTTTTTTTTCAGTTCTTTATATATTCTAGATAGTAGTCCTTTGTCTGAGGAACAGCTCCTAAAAATATTTTCCCACATTGTAGGTTGTCTCTTAGCTCTGTTGGTTTCTCTTGCAGTGCAGAAGCTTTTTAATAAGATGAGATCCCAGTTGTTGATTCTTTGTGCTAGTTCCCATGCTACTGAGGTTTTGTTCATAAAGTCTTTTCCTATGCCAATGTCTTCAAGAGTTCTACCTAATTTATCTTCCAGAAAGTATAGTGTTTCTGTTTTAATATTTAGATCTTTAATCCACTTCAATCTTAGTTTAGTGCATGGTGATAGATATGGGTCTAGTTTTAATCTCTGGCAGGTTGAAATCCAGTTTTTCCAACACCATTTATTAAAGAGGCTATCTTTCCTCCAATGAAGGTGGTTGGCTCTTTTGTCAAAGATGAGGTGGCTGAGTATGTCTGAAGTTGTTTCTGCATCTTCTAATCTATTCCACTGATCCTCAGGTCTGTTTCTTTGCCTCGAAGATAGTTTTGTTTTTTGGTTGTTTGTGTTTTTTTTGGCACCGGGGATCAAACTTGGGTCCTTGCGCTTGCGAGGCAGGCAGCAGAACCACTGAGCTAAATCTCTGGCCCTGAAGATAGTTTTAATTACTGTTTTATTTTTACCTGAATCAAAGAGTTATTTGGAAGGGTACTTTTTAAACTTCTAGGTGTATTGATTTTGTTGCTATCTTTTTATTATTAATTTCCAATTTATGTCAGAGCACAGACTTTTTGAAATTTATTCAATTTTCCTCAGGAGCCTAATCCTGTGGTTTTTGTGACCTTGCCATGCATTTGTGGAGGGAGTGAACTCTTCCCTAGTAATGAAATTGAGCTCCTGAGCTGAGTCATGTAGCTCCTCTACTTCTTTATCTAGTTTTTTTGTTTTCCCTTCTGTGAAAGGCGCCTCCATCACTACTCAGGCCCGCATGGTTATTCTATGCCTAGGCCTGTCTCAGGGCTTGTCTCTGTCATCTGTTTCAGGGTCCCTAATCTCACCCCTTCTCTGCATGTCTGACCTTTCAGATCTGTCCCAGGGCATCAGATCTAATCTCAGGCCTGAGCCAGCTCACCCAATCCACCTGCTTCATTCAGTGAAAGCACCTTGAACTCCCAGGTGAGGCACATAGCCCTGAGCTGGTGCGGGCTCCGCAGGCGTTCAATGACTGCTCACCCCATTTGGGACTGAGCCCTGTAATTTGGTGGCACCTACAGGGTAGGGACTGGGGTCTGGTGCTCCCCAGTAGTGTGACTCTAGGCATAGAGGCCACAGCATGTGCAAAGCCTGTGCAGAGCAGGAGCGCCACTAGTGAGAGGAAGGAAAGGTGGCCACCAGTGTGGGGCCACAGCAAGAACCACAACCACTGGATCTTGTTCCAATTGCATGGGAGCATTCTAAAAGTTTCAAGTGGGATCATGGTGGCCACCATGTGTACTGAGTCCCTGCTGTGGCTGTGAGAGTCTGCAGGACCCAGAGCAGGTAGCAAAGTTCAGATAGGTTGGGAGGTCATAGGAAATGGCCTCAGGAAAACCTGGTGAGGGCATAATCATGCCAGCCCCATCACAGGCATTTCCCCTGGCCCTTCCTACAATCTTGGATTGTTCAAGGTGGCTTCCAAGGACTCTGGATTGCCTGGCCCACACCCTGACTGCTTGAAGCCCTCACATCTGTCACTCCCTTTGCTCTCTGCACCCATGACTTCCTCTACCTGGCCATTCCCTGCTAGCCCAGAGATATCCCCTTGAAGGGGAAAACCCCAATACCTCTGCTACACCATTCATGATGCCACCGTCATGGTGAGCACATCGTGGCCCCATAGATGCCACCATCCTGGTCTTCCAAATCTGTGTGTGTGACCTCAATGGCAAAGTGGAATTTACAAGTGTGATTAAGTGAAGGGTCTTGGAATGGAAACATGATCCTGAAATACCCACGTGACCCTAAAATGTCAGCCACAGTACCTTAACAAAAGGGAGGCAAGCTGGCCAGAGTCAGAGGAGGAAATGTGATGCCAAGTGGAACCCAGAGAGGGAAGAAATGCTGAGCTGCTGGCTGTGCAGATAAAGGAGTGTCTACACGCCAAGGAAGGCAGGCAGAGATGGCATGAAACACTCCCTGATTCCACTTAGGAAGAGCTGGCCCTGTCAGTTTGAGCCAGGTGGAACTTCTGACCTCCAGAACTGTGAACTGATGAGTGTGTGCACCACTAAGTCTATTGTAACTTGGTACAGAAGCAATAGGAAAGAACATGCTGGGCTTGCGGGTCTGAGATGAAGTAGAAGGTTGAGCACGGGCCCAGGGAGAGAGTAGAATAGGGCAGATAGTCCACAAGGCAAGGGCTGACCTCTGTGCAATGAGGAGTCCCAAAGGTCAGAAGTCTAGAGGATGACCCCAAAAGAACTGCATTTACTATATAAGATTCTAAATTTAAGAAGATAATGTAATCACTAAACCAGAACAGGGTGCTATGAAAAAGAAAAGAAAAGAAACAATTAGAAACCCAGAAGGAGCTCTTGGAAATGTAAACTATGCTGCTGAACAAAACAACTAAGTAAAAGATTGAAGCAAAGCTCTCCCAGAAAATAGAATAAATACTGAGAGATGGAAAATAAGAGAGACCAGCCAAGAGGCATGGAGACCCAGCATCCAACTACTGTTGTCTCCAGAAAAGGAGATGAGAGAAGAGAAAATGAAACGGAAGGCCAAGAGCCTGTAATAAAAGAGAACAACCACCATGTCACCCTGTCTTTGAGGACAGAGAAGACCTCTTAAAGAATCAACAAGTGACCTATTCCTCTGTAGTGGAGAATTATGTAAGACACCTTCAAACTTCTGAAGGAAAATCAAATTCCATACCCAGCCAAAGTGACTGTTAAGGGTGAGGATACATTTTCAAACACTCAAATTTTTATAAAATTTGCATTTTGGGCCTTTTCTTAGAAGGTTACAGGGACCGTGCTCCAGCAAAACGTGGATCCTCTGCAGAGAGAGGTCAGGAAAGGTCCAAGCCCAAACTTGAGGCCTCTATCCCAGAAAGGAGCAGGGGACAGGGATGGGGCACTCCAGGTACAGCTTCAAGGAGAACAGGTGGGCTACCAAGATCCTGAGGAGGGCATTGTCCCAGCATAGAGTGGAAAATGAGCACCCTGCTAGCAGTGAGATGTGTGCACTGCAGAGGCCCAGCTCTGCAGGGCACCCAGGACAGGGCACAGAGTTTGTGAAAACCATCATGATAAAACTGTCCCAGGAAGTTGGGAGGAGCAGATGTGGATGTTGGTGTAAGAGCCTCCTCTCCTTGCCTAGAGCAAGTCCATAAAAGATGTCTGAGATTGAGAAATCCAGAAGCTATGTGGCAAACATGTTACCAAGTGCTAGAGGATCCACAAGGGGTGCCCAGAAGCGGGGCTGGGGTACAGGCTGAGGGCCTAGGGCTATTTGTCAGCATAAACTGCATAACCAGTGTGCCCCTTTGATAACAGTCTCACAGTCACACACACACCCGATACACAGAATCATGCATACACACAAACTCACACAAACACACTCATACATGTACACATGTACCTGCTCCTCTTCCAGCAAAAGCTGCTCCCTGGCTGAGATGTGGGGATGGAGGCAGGTGACAGGAAGCTGGCAAAGAAGAGGGAAGCCA